ACTCGAAAAAATTAAATAAAAGTTTTTCAACTTGATTATATTGTTGAAAAAAGTCTTACTATATATAACTATTAAAACAAAACTACAGCTAAAACTAAACAAATTATGCACGGTTAGTTATTTTGAACGGTTGGAAAAAAATTAAAAACTTGAATTGACATACTTTATTTTATTTTGTTATACAGAACTCTATTTTTTGAATTTTTTCTTTCATTGGTTTAAAAAAAATCAAAATGATTATTTCAGTTAGAACAAACTTTGGACTTCCTTTTTGACATATACCCTGAGTAGAATTTTTATTAAGTTTTATTGTTTAACTATCACCAGGTGGTAAAATTAGTTAGTAACAACTAGTATATCAAAATATATCAATAGACATCCCCAGTTTTATTACACTAGACTGTGTATCATTTTAATAACTTGCATTTTAAGTAATAAATAAGGAGAAAAAAGGTTTCGAATATGGAAAATAAATTTCGGACTTACCCTTTGACCTACACCCTGCTAAATTTGTGTTTTATTAAATTAATTAATTTTATTAAACAGATAACACGGCCAATGATTAGTTCAAAATGTCGCTTAATTCACAAGTTTATATAGCATTTTAAAGAAAAAGTTAGCATGTTAAAAAAAAGCATCATTTCCTTTAAAGTTAGGCGACCGAATATTACTTTAATTGTGTAGAACTTTTGATATCACGATATCCTTTGGATACAAGAAAGGAAGATAGAGAGTTATTACAAGTAGAAGCTGTTTATAGTTGCATCGATAAAAACTAGTATTTGTTCCTTGGTTTTCTTTTATAATCAAGAAGAAGATTTTAGACTTATTAAGTATAATTTTAATTATATACCAATTTTTACAAAGGTTCTAGAATACCTAATCCTTATTATATGTCCGGATATTAGAGATACTCACCCCCTACAATTTGGATTCAATGCTAACTGTTCAACGCTACATGCTGAATTTCTAATTTGCGAAACAATTAAACATTACAATAGCAACAATTCGCTATTGTAATGTTTGGTAAAAATTCTACTCAGGGTGTATGTCAAAAAGGAAGTCCAAAGTTTGTTCTAACTGAAATAATCATTTTGACTTTTTTTAAACCAATGAAAGAAAAAATTCAAAAAATAGAGTTCTGTATAACAAAATAAAATAAGGTATGTCAATTCAAGTTTCTAATTAAGTTATTTAACCTCCATCAAAATATTGTAATTATTATTTTTTAACAATCGCAAAATTTTGAAACCGGTATACTATTTTCCAGTTTTTAATATTTTGGAACTTGAACCGTTTTCCAGTTTTTAATTTTTTTCCAACCGTTCAAAATAATTAACCGTGCATAATTTGTTTAGTTTTAGCTGTAGTTTTGTTTTAATAGTTATATATAGTAAGACTTTTTTCAACAATATAATTGTAATATTGCAGAAATTCAATGTTTTTTTATACTAGTTGAGAAAACCATATTGTTTATCCTTTATGAGATTCATGATAATCGTAATAGAAACTATGATGAACCACATTAAAGAAAAAACTTGTTTATTTAGTATTTTCATAAAAGCTATTACTGATTTTTCTTTGGGTGTTATGAAATGTGATATTGTGGCATGGATACTTTACGAAAGTTTTTTATACCTGTGGTTTTCTGTCTCAAAGAATGTCATTAATGGTGCAGCCTCTGCTACTGCTTCTTCTTCTGAATTTGAAACAAATTTTGATTTTATTGTTGCACTGTGTATAACAAGACATGTTTTTAAAATAAATTTTTTAACTACAAAATTTTGCAAGCAAGTAATAATAAATTTTTATAGTTTAAATCTTATTCAAGCATTAAAAGATTTTGTCTCTATAGTTTGAAATATTATTAATCAACACCTCTAAACAAGCCTAAAAATCGCATTTCAAATTATTTTAACTTGGTTATCGCTGTTTTTTTGCTAGACTATCTGAGTTTTTTTTAGATTACTGAGATTAACACAATGGTTGATTGATACAATTTTGAAGTGTTATAAAGCACTTGTACTTTAATTTCTTCTTTCTAATATTAAGTTTCTTCTAAAAAAAATTGCAGAAATTCAATGCTTTTTTATACTAGTTGAGAAAACCAAATCATATTTTTTAGTGTCTTGTTTAACCAAAGGCTTTATTAGGTTTATTTATTATTTCCAAACCAAAGGCTTTATTACTCAAATTTGATCTGTGGAAAGTTTAGTTGAATTTCACTCAACTGCCTGAATTTCAAAAATGAACTTTAATCTAATAATACTGAAACATTACAAGCAACAAACCTTTTCAAGTTTGTTATAAATACTTATGAATTGTGTTTTAAATAAAATTCAAATACGATAAAAGTATAACTTCAAATGTTTTAGCTGCTTTTTGTTAAACAGCTATTTTCATAGCGAGACATTTTTGTAAAAACATTTAGTACAGTTATTCCAATAAGTTTTTTGACTCTAAGTATTTATAAAGTTTATTTATAATTAAAAGTTATTTATAAAGTTATATAAAAAAATTTACACAGCAAAATCTTATATTAATCTTGTAAATTGTTTTCACAAATCTTGTAAAAAATTTTAACATGTATATATTATACATTACGACAACTGAGTATTTTAAAAAAATAATATTTTTAGTTTGCAAAAATCATATTTTGAGCTTTAGTTTCCATTTTATCAATGTTACAAGTCATTTAAAGAATTAAAACATTTTTATAAAATACACTCAATCCGGTCAAAATCCGGCTCCCCTCCCCCTCTCCCTAAAAAAATAGGGAAGCAGAGGGGGGAATAATATTTTTTTTTTGGGACTTACCCAAAAAATTTTCTGTAAACGCCCCTGTATACATACTAAAGTATGAAACAAATAAATTCAGTTCCAATAAATAAAACGTTGTCCAAACATTAAATACAACGTTCAATCAACGTAAAATATTACGCAATGACTTAAAATACAACGTTGTTTTTTGGTTGTTTGTTGGCGACGTTGCGTGTAAGCAAAACGGTATAAAAATAACGTTGGTGGTCGATGGTGGGTCAACGTAACGCGCAACATTGTTTGAACGTTTTATAGCTGAGTTAAAATTTCACGTTATTTCAAAGTTGCAAACCACATTAGCAATTTTATAATTGCGTTAATCATATTAATGCAGTTATACAACTTTATGATCGTAATTTAATCATATTCAAGCAAACACTTTTGCTGTTAATGTGACATTCAAAATGTTCTAACAAAAGAGTCTCAAGAACATTTAAAAGTTTGAAGACAGCTCACAAGTTTTTTACTGCTGGACCAAAATAAACTGAATTACCGCGTTAAAAGCATTTGTGACCACTCAATGCAACAAAGACCTGCTACACGTTTTTTCCAATAAAAATATAAGTTTTTTCAATCACAATGTAAGTTTTTTCATCAAAAAGTATGACACAAATGATATGTATGGAAAGATTATTTTAACCACTATTATAATCTGGTAAAAGTAATGTGATTATAACAAATCGTCAAGCGTAGTTTTATTTAGAAAAGATGTAACTTTCAACATAAAGTACCTTGGGGCTTGGCTATAGATAAGTTTGTGGATTTAATTTTTTCATAAAAACACGCATTGGTTTTTATTTTCCATGAATGTAACTTGACATTTCTAATCAGACATTATATTTGGGAAAATTATCCACGAAAAACCGTTTTTTTTTATAAAAATTGAAGTTATTATTTTCAATACCACACCTAAATGAGTAAGTTTAACAATAATGTCACGTTAGATTCAGATAGACTATGGTCTTAGATTCAGATAGACTATGGTCGTTAGATTCAGATAGACTATGGTAGTATTAATTTTTGTACAAAAGTCGTTTTTGTACGAAAATTAATAATCACAACTTTTAACCCCATTGAAAAAACTGTTTTCGATATTTTGTATCGTTTTTTGAAATACTTGGAACATATTCGGCCATCTTGAAAAAATAAATTATTCCCATTCAGAATGCGTAAACAATTAAAAAGCAGTGGCGGTGTCACGTTAAATAAGTAGATCGTTAAATAAGTAGACAATTTGAACAATAAAGGCATTATTTGTTAACCCAGACGAATAAATTAAAAAAAAAAACATAAGTTAACCGAACTAAGAGCATATACTTTGTAATGCGAAGTGTTATTATTTTATGGCATTTTTAGAGTGATAATTTACCACTTTTAATAATATTTAACTCACGACATATATTCTAGTCGTAATTTATACCTTAATAGTAAAGTATGACAAGTAACATATTTTTAAGAAAGAGCATTTTTTTAGGTCATTACTGATATGAATTAAAATGCCATCTCACAAGAAAGTTTATTATATTCCTAAATAATTTAACTATGTATTTTAGCAAAATGTTTTACGTTAAATTATTTATCTTTATCCCTTAAACCTATCAATTGTAAAGTTTGTAATTGCTACTCGATTCTACGCAGATAAATACTAACAAAAGTATTCTGATGTCATTACAGAAAAAAGAAGAGAATTTATTAATTCGTGTCACGACTGGAGAGGTTGAAAAAGCCACTCCAGTCGTGGAGGCTGCTTTAGTTCTGGTTACAACCCTCTCACAACTCTTTAACTCCGAAACACAAACCATGACGAACAAGAGCGCTACGCAGAGAAACAAGTTGAGCGCGGTAGTACCAGGGACGTGGTGGTGATCTAACTCGGAACTTCTCAATTATGAGACGAGCGCTCTACCACTACATCACTACTGTACTACCGTTGAATAACAACCTAGACAGGTATTATTTGACGATTTTAGCGGTGTATGTATAGCACAATAATAATAAGATGTGAACTAAACTCAATTTACTATTTCTTACTATGTGAATGTTTTAAATAAAAACGACATTAAAGAAACGACACACTTCATGCTACACTAAAATTTTATTTTGAAAACAAAATCAAAATATCCTTACACAATATAAATAACAAAATAAAATAACATGATTTTTAAGTTCTTTTAAAAAATATCAACTTGGGCGTTTTCGGAAGAAATTTAAATTTTCTACATGGAATTACAAGCCTATATAGTATAGAAATATAGTATAATATAAATAGTATCATAAAATTGCAACGAATAAAAAATAATAATAATAATAAAAGTACCTGCTTTTGTACCAGAAGAGTACTTAATAAATGCATTGATCAATATATGTCAATAAATTGATTTAGAAAATAAACTCTAAATGTGTGCCAGAAGGATTTGAATTTTTAAACCATATAAGTGTTAAAAATAGTAAAACAGTCATGGTATCAACATGCCAGAATAGTCTATACTTTCACAATATTCTATAAAAAAATTGATCAAATATCTCATTATGATTAAAAATTACATAGCCATATTTTTGGTGTAGTTGTAATAGTACTACTTTTGGTGTAGTTGTAATAGTAGCTATAGTTAAGTGCAACCGCAACAAATATATTTAAATAAAGAAATGACTTCAATAACTGTACCTATTAACTATATCTTATATCAATAACCCTTGTTGATAAAATGAATAACTGATGACAGTAAGAAAAAAAAAACTACAAAGTGAACAAAACAAATCATCATGCCAGTAACAAAATAAAGAACAAGCACTAGTTGACCTAAACTAACCATTGTATAAGATTGTATAACGTTAGACATCTATAAAACACTTACAAAAATAAAATAAGTAATGAACTTTTTAAATATTACCTAAAACATACATAAACAATACCAACAATAAAAAAAACATGAACAATAACAAACAAAAACAAACCAACAATAAAATAAAAAAAATGTATTTATATATAATGATTGAATTTAAATAATCAAATAAGTCATAAAAACAAAAACAGCAGTAATAATAAGATACAACAATGATAGTACTAAAGGCTAGGGCTGTACCGGATTTAATTTTTCCAAATCCGGCCGGAACCGGATTTGCCGGATTTCTACTAACAGATCCGGCCGGAATCAAAGCCGGAGCCGGATTTCGAAAAAAAACTGCAACTGCAAAATAGTCAACAATGTTCACTATTCAGAATACCAAGTGACAGTTGTTTTCTCTTGCAGCGACATTTTAAAGAAAGTTCTGACAGTATGGGCTAGCATATGTTATGTTATATGTTATATGACCAGATCAAAATTTTTTTTTTATTGTTAAGTGGCTAGATGTTTAAATGTTGTTAATTAAGAAAATAATAATTCCTTCAAATTTCAAAGCATTATTCCTACGTTAGGTAACAGCTTAATTGACATTTCAACGGTGTCCTTATATTAAAAAAAAAAAAGTTATTTTAAAGTATGTCAGTCTAGTACTCAAAATAATGTAGCAAAAATAATATTTAAATTTCAACAATAATATTCGTTTTAAAAAATATATATATATATGAATTAATTTTTTATTCAAAACTTGTAAAAATGTACTTTTATTTTCAGTTAAAAAACTATAGCTTTGTTTTTAATTAGGAATTGTTTTTAGTTATTATGATGTATGGTAAGGTTTGGTATTTTACATACGACGTGCATGTTTTTAATGTTTTTAGTAGAATTAACTGGACTTTCCCCTGGAATAACATGTTTTTATTTTTTATGTTGTTGATGTTGTTTTGTAAAAACTTAGCTTAAATTGATGTAAATTGATATTTATGTTCTATAGGGCGCCAAATAAGTATTAATAAATCAACTTTTTCATCGCAAGAAGTATTATTTTTCTTAATTGTAATCAGCTCAGCTAATTGTCGAAATGTATATTAAATTGTAAATGTAATAATTAAATCGTGGTTTTCGTATAAGCTTCATATGGTGTAATTCAACTATAAAACTTGGTGAATTTGTATTTATTAAGTAAAAATAGGTTTTATAAATTCAAAAAAGCATTACATTACAAATACTAGCAAACGTAGGTTTAAACAAAAAGTATGTTTAAATCTATACATTGACAAGAAAAAAAAATTTGGGTAAGCGTCCGTGTTCGTAATAACACGTTTAAGGTGGACGTTTAAGAGCTATCAAAGTAACGTTTCCAGAAAACGTTCGCTTTTTGTTATTTGAACGTCCAGCGAACATTCAAGAATTGTAAATTAGAGTTCACATAAATTTGTTCAAATAACGTTTGCAGCGTACGTTATGCAAACCTAAATGAACGTTATGGTAACGTTTTTTGAACGTTAATTTTTAGCTGGGGTGGACGTTCAAGAGCTATCAAAGTATCGTTTATAGCGAACGTTAAATCAACGTTCGTTGTTTGTTGTTTGAACGTTCAGAGCGAACGTTTATGAACTGTAAATCGAAGTTCACAAAAGTTGGTTTAAAGAATGTTTGGAGCGTATGTTAATCAAACCTAAACGAACGTTACGGTAACGTTCCTAGAACGTTAACTTTTAGCTGGGTAGCTGAGTGTCAATGCCTGTTGGTAAATGTTGTTCATGTGCTGTGAGCAAGCGGGCGTAGACTGAATAATTTCCTCTATATATATTGCCATTGTAATGGTGATAATGTATAAGAACTCTTTGGGTTTGTTTTGCTGGATTTTCTTTAGTTTTTTCAATCTGCTGCTCAGCATGGTCAGATTGACTTCAATCTTGCTTTTTCACCTGTCAGTGTTGCCTGTAATGAGAAGAGTTTAGTTTGAAATTATGGATCAGCCAGTGTCACCACTATATAAAAAGGTTTCTCTTCAAAAAATAAATCCTAATCAAGTTATTGAATGAGCCTTTAAAACGCTCATTCAATAACTTGATTAGGATTGAATTCATAGTCTTTACACCTGCATTATTGCAGAATATCCTGTGTCTTCCTTTCAGAATTTTTTGTTGCGTTGTTGTTTGAAAATAGGCTAAGTTAATTAAATTGTAAAGAAATATAAATACAGATACCAAAAGTTCATAGACTATAGAATTACTAAAAACATTTGTAAAAATAAAATATTAAGTATACATGTTATCAAGGGCAAGAAAGATGTAATAAACATCCTATGAAAATTCAGAAATCCGGCCAAATTTAAGCCGGATTTGCTAAAATGGCCGGAATTCAGCCGGAGCAGGAGCCGGAATCGAAATTCGGTACAGCCTTATTAAAGTCACACCTTTTATGACAGTATAACACAGTAACAAAAGGTAACATCTATAATGTTTCATTCTCAATACATTTCAGGTAATGTTACCTCATTTCATTACCTTTTTATATAATTAAACTTAGGTTGATACTGCTACACAAATATACTGTCGCACCATCATACTATCGCATTTCCTTTTAAGAAAAGATCACAATCATTTTCATGTACAACTCTATGCACTAACAATGGCGCATCATCTTTACTTAAACTATTAATGAGTGAATCATAAAACTGAACACACTTCCAATGTGAAATAACATCAGGACACATTACTTAGAAACACCCAATATAACTTTCTGAAAAACCACTTGAATAAACAAATAAGAATGCAAAAAAACTCAGATATTTTAAACTTGGAAATCTAAATATTTTAGAAAACTGATATAAAAGCAAACTTTGTGCTATATCAATCAAGGTGTCATCTGGCCAGCCAGATGAGTCTCTTAAAATATCTAAAGCCTTGTCTTTAGACTGTATTAAAAAACTTTAAAGAAAACTTTAGAAAAATTTGAACTTTGACCCATTTTTACTATAATACTATCATTAACAAATTTTTTCAAAGCACTTTGTTAATTTCAAAGCACTTTGTTAATTTGAAAGCACTTTGTTAATTTGAAAGCACTTTGTTAATTTGAAAGCACTTTGTTAATTTGAAAGCACTTTGTTAATTTCAAAGCACTTTGTTAATTTCAAAGCACTTTGTTAATTTCAAAGCACTTTGTTAATTTCAAAGCACTTTGTTAATTTCAAAGCACTTTGTTAATTTCAAAGCATTTTGTTAATTTCAAAGCATTTTGTTAATTTCAAAGCATTTTGTTAATTTCAAAGCACTTTGTTAATTTCAAAGCATTTTGTTAACTGGTAATACCATTACCAGTTTAAACTCTAAACCTTTTTCTCTTTGATTGGTTTGAGAAAAATAAGCAGACTTTATCAAATAATCTAAAATTTTAGAGTTTTTTAAAGAGTATCAAAAATCTATAAAATAAAGTAATTACATAAATTGTTATTTTTTTAGTATATTTACTTTAACAATCAGTAATTTTATTAATACATTTTTTTCCAAGTTTTGTAAAGCAAGAGGTCCAACAAAGTCTAGGGGAAGTTTCTGTAAAAATGGCAAAACTGATACGATCACATCTCTATACTAATTACTTTGTATTAGTATAAGTATACTGACTTATACTAATAAAATTCCATTAAATAGAAGGGTTTAAAAATTAGTGGCTCTAGAACAATCAGTTTTTTTTGGACAGTATCTAGGTCACTCATAGATTATCCTGGCCATATTATAAATTTTTTTTCCTTAAATATCCGTAAAAATTTTTTGTAACATCCGGAAAAAATCCGGAATTTACAACAAGGAGGGAGGGGGCGTGGTCTCCTCCATTCTTTTATATTACTATAATTTTACACCAGTTTAAAAGTATCTTTATTCATATAATTTTTTCATCAAAAAAGAATAATAATAATGATAAAATTTTAACCATAATAATAAGATGAAGATAAAGTCAAAGAAGAAGTAGAAAACTATATTTAAAACCTGTTAAACAATGCGGAAACTTTTTTAGACATGCACTTATACATTTAAATACATAATGGATAATGAAATATTGCTTCAATTCACCAAAGATATACAAATAGATAAACGTTTAACGCGTTGTTAGAGATCAGAGGCGCCACCATAACTGAAATCCCATAGGCGTTATTTGAGCGTTTTGGAATTTTTGTAGTAATTTTACAAAATAAACCGACATATATCCGACACTTTTGCTTGCCAACTTCTTTCAGTAAACATTTTATTACCTGTAAAACACCAACTTTTGGAAAATATAAATGAATTTTATTTTAACTATTTTCGGAGCATACTTCAATCGCAGTAAAAAGAAAGGAAATAATAATAATAATAATAATAATAAATACCACACTTCTAAAATACAAAAATTAGAAATCTTAAGTAATAAATATGTTAAAAAAGAAAATAAATAAATAAAGTAAAAAGATATTGAATTATTTTTCTGTAATCAGTTAGTTTTCTACAATTAGTTCTTCCACTCAGAGTTTAAAATGTTTTAAACTTAATTTACAATACAAAGTCTTCTTTTATAAAAAAATCTCCACGTTCAATAACTAAAAAAGTTTAAACGTTCGTTAGATATAGTTTAAATTTTAAGTTTATTTTAACCATGATAAACAAAAGGTGAGGCATTATTAATGATTCATGTGCTGATTCATGTGATTCAAAATTTAAAAGATTTAAAAAAAAATGATTTTTTTAAAATCTTTTATATTTAAAAAAAAAACAAGCATAGTTTTAAATCTTTTTAAAAAAATGATTTTTTTTAAGAAAATATAATTTTAACAGGCGCTTTTTGAATTGAAAAGAAAACGTGCGATGTTTTTAAAAACCTAATAATGGCACTTAAAAGCAATTTGATTCACTTGACGTTTAGTCAAAGTATATATGTTTAGATTTTTTTTAAATAATTACATAGAATAAAATCCTTATAGTTTAGAATATAGTTTTATTATATAACACTTATTTGTATGAAATAATTTATTACTAACAAAGTAACTAATCTTGGTCAGTAATAAGTTTTTTTTATAAGTTTTTTTCACCCTTAACGAAAACAAGTTGTACCGCACGACCATAATGTTACACCACGGTATTATAGTAACTGTAAGATTAATAGAAGTTTCTACTAGTTGAAGGTCATACCAAATTTCTTATTCTTAGATCGAACTATTTGTTTCACTGCTCTCTAGAATTAGATTTTACTAATCTCAAAAGAGTTTAAATTTAACGATATTTCTCATATTTGACGGAAATTAAAAACTGATTTCTCTCATAGCTTTTGTAACAGAATTTTTATTTACGAGTACCGTTTATTCTACCATAGTCAAAACTTTTTAAATACCATCGTCAAAACTTTTTAAAGTCTCCAATTAATAAAAAGTTATGCGAAAAAAATGATACTTTCAAGAAGTGTGAACGAAAAGAGACTTGCAATGGTACGACTGGACAGAAAACGAAATAATGATGCAGTAAATTTTGAACCACCGACAAACAAACTGAGAAAAGTTTCAGTCCATAAGCGGATTTACTTAAAAAAAAAATTTTAACAATAAAAAAAGAAATCTCTTTGCTGATAGCTAAAAGAGCTATTTAAAAAATGTAAATTTACAATTTTTTTTAAAAAAGAGTAGCGTTTGACACGCATCGCTAATTTTATTTTGAAAGATCATTTGTTCTTTTGCGCTGAGATTTTTCTTAAACTTTAATTAAAATGCTTATTAATTTTAGGTTCTCTGCGAAGGAAATCTTTTGTTTGTTAACTAAGTATAGCTTTGTTTGTTAACTAAATATAGCGTTCCGTAAGCATATTTTGAAACCCTATACAGGCTCAGAATAGGCAGAAATATGAGCAATCTGATTCGCTGATTTTGAAAGAGAGGCAAGTGCGCTTTATTTAAAAATATATTTAAAATCTAAACAGATTTTAAAATAAATTTCATAGTAATGATAAACTAAGTTAATGATAAACTAAGTTTATCAATACAAGTCTTGTGTTACTATCAACATAGAGATTTTATTTTATTATTCTTTAGAATATTTAAAAGGTATCAAAATCTATTTGTAACAGAGAATTTTCACTCGTAAAAATCTTCAAGTTTCAATAAAGTTTATCTTGGTGATGGAGGAGAATATGTTCTTGGCCTTAAAGCATACTCAAATACAAAGTTTATATATAGTTGTACAAGACTACTTGTGAAGTACTTTTGCATATGAAGATTATATGCAGTTTTACCAGACTACTGAGGAAAAACTTTATTTATAAATTGATTTATACGTTAATTAAAAATAGTTGAATATTAAAGTTTTTAAATAAAGAAAATTTGTACTGATTGCAAAACTAGCTTACATGTTCCATGTCAATATATGAGCTTTGAGGAGGTTTTGTTTTCATGTTTTGTTTCAACTATTGTTTGTAGGAGACTGATTTACTTTTTATTGCATAACTCTAATAAAACATCATCTTAAACCATTAAACATTTTTTAAAAATTTAGAAAAATTTTGGCAGGCAATATTAACTGTATGTATAAAATGTTATTTGAAAATTTAACAACAGAAGTGAAATTTATACGTTGATCTACTGAACAGTAATTTTTTGTGAAGTTACATATAAACAATAAAATTAAAAGCAAGAAAAAGTATTGAAGTCAAATATGTTAACCAAATAAAAAAAAGAACAAAATCACTTGTCATGCTATGATTATTTTTTTTATAATAAAATGTGTTTTGCATGTATAAACTCTTGAAATATTTAACTTGAATTTGCATGTGTGCAATTTTGCAAGATTTCTAAGTGTGTTTTTCGTCAAATGTAATGTCTATGTTCTATAAAGCATGGTCAATACAAAGTTTATATACAGTTGTACCAGACTAATGGTAATGTACTTAAAGTATGCAAAGTATAAATTTTCAGCTGAGGCAGAGGTTGTTTTATGCTCGTTACTTCATCTTTACACTGTCTTGTTAATTATAAATTGTTAAACATTTAGATTAAAAAAAAAATTTACTGATATTTTACCAAACTAGCTTACATGTTCCATGTAAATCTACGAACTCTGAAGAAGTTACTATTTAAGCTAAATATTGAGAAGGCTGATCAATATTTTTCTTTACTTAACTTTAATAAAACATCATCCTTAAACCTTCAAACACTTGTGAAAAATTAAAAAAAGTTTGGCAGGGTATTTTAACTTATATATATAAATAGGATGAAAATTGTATATTATTAATCATTTGTTTTTCTACTGAACAGTTCTTTTGTTCAGTTACATTTAAGCGTTGATAATACAAGCTAACAAAGAGAATTGAAGTAAAGCAATTTAACCAAATTAAGGTGAATTATGGCAATTATTGTAATAAAAGAACTTGATTAAAACAAGGTTTTACATTTGAAGAAGCAAGTTTTCAGAAAAAAAAAAATAATAATATTACTTCAAGATAAAACATAACACATCTCTATTTTTAAATTATTATACAAGAGGTATTCACAGAAATTCAAAAAAAAAGCACACTTAATTTTATTGGTTATTCCAAAGATTACAAAATAAAACTATTAATAAAATTTGGAAACTTGAAAGATAAATATTTCTGCCAAAAAAAATGAAAAAAAAGTGTTTTTTTTTTTTCATTTTTTTAGAGAAGATATTTTTTTTTCTTCAGGAGTATGTAATGTAAAATAAATTAATAGCATAATAAATAAAAAATTTATCAAACTTTGTTGCTTTATTCAATTTTATTTACCATCAGTTGCTATTAAAGAGTAATTGTTTTTTACCAATTATAGAATACAATAATCAATATTTTGTTCAGGTTAAAAGCTATATATCAACAAACATGTGCTTTATATATCTTTTAAAATTGAAATAAACAACAACATGAACTTGTATTTTTGCAATTTTTTTTGCTTTTACCTTTTTACACTTAGCTCAGCATAAAGGTGTGGTAAGTTAAGAGTTGTTCATTTTTGTAATCAGTTTACTATATCAAAACACACTTGTGGACATCAGGTTATAAATTATTTCTTATAGCTATTATTTCTTATAGCTTATTTCTTATTATGCAACAATGTTTTGTCTTTTCTTATCTTTTATTACTATACATTACCAAAGCCAATCTAAATCAGCTCTTGTTTACAATTGCTATTAATTTGAGAGTGATGTAAATTATCTAGGCTAATTTTAAACTAATTTTTTTATATCTTTATTTTTAAGAAAATAAATACACTATATTGTACAAAATTGGATAAAAAAATCTTTTTTTTTTTTTTGTCATTATTATTTGGCAATTACTATTTCACTTTTATTATTCAATACGTTTTTTGACGTTTGTCTTAACAACGTTTTTTGACATTTGTTTTGATTTAAACTTACGCGCAAAAGCCTCTCTTTCAAAATTGGCGAATCAGATTGCGCATATCTCTGCCTATTCTGAGCCTGTATAGGGTTTCAAAATATGCGTTCCGTAATTTATGGCAACAAATTTACTGCTTGTTACACGGTCGTTTGGATGTGGAAAGTTATTATACGCAAGCGCAGTGTCAAATTCAAATATTATAATTTTAAAGATAGTGACGGCCTTTAGATACAAACATTTTTCTGAGTAGCAACAACATTTTTAAAGTTTTACTTAGTAGTTATTATTTGCATATTTTTGATAGAATGAAATAATAATAAAGATAATTGAATTGTTGATTCAAAAATGATAAAAACAATATAAAGATGTTTTAGTATATAAAAAACTGTGATTCTCTGCTACATTTATCTGACTGTTAAAAGCATGATTTGTTTACATTTTCAAAACTCTTTTTCTAAAAATCTGAGCAATACAATTTAATAATTTTAATTTTTTTATTTCGAATAGTCTTGTCTTGATTTGATATTGTTTTCAGATCTGAGTATTCAATTTTTTTCTGAACAAAAATAGAGTTCACCCAACACTACTTTTGTAGATGTATGATACATTTATATTAATGTATATAGTTAATATATATAGTTAATATATATATATATATATATATATATATATATATATATATATATATATATATATATATATATATTATATATATATATATATATATATATATATAGTTAATATATATATATATATATATATATATATATATATATATATATATATATATATATATATATATATATATATATATATATATATATATATATATATATATATATATATATATATATATATATATAATTATATGTGAATGATTATAATGCAAAAAAAAAAGGCTAAAAAGTTCACGAGTTATTTATAAAGTATGTAAGATAAAATATAGTTTTTATAATATATCATAATCATTTAACTATATATTATAAAAAAGTTGTATCCAATAAATTTGTGTGCATATTATATTACAACACGATTACAACAATTGTATGCAAACACATTTATATATAAGTTAAATATAAATTTATTATGTTACATAGTTTAAATACTATGTGATTTATTTGCATTTAATTTATTTTTATAATATG